GCGTGGCGGCGCTGCCCTCGGCGGCGGCCGGCCCGTGTGGGCCGCGCGGGCTCGCCCGGCTGCACCGCTCACGGGAAGCGGCCTTTGCCCTTGCAAAACCTTCTGCATCAGCAGATCCCAAGAGCATTCGGGCCCTCACACATCACCAGAGGGCTTCGAATTCATGAACCCACAAACAAACAGCCTCTTTTCCCTTCAAGCATACAGACTGCATCCTGATTATTCCCCTTTAAAAGTAAGCCAAGACACGCAGGAAATAACCTCACCAGCTCTTTAAAACTTAAGCACAAATATTGTGAAATATCTGGTACGGCCTTTTGCGCTGGCGATAGTGAAAGCAAACACTATTTTGCCTTGAGGTTTTCAATGTGATCATGATAAAGCGGTCACTCGGCGTGGTGTTATTAACAGAGCATTTTACAGCTCGTTACAGGATGGCCCAGAGCGGGTTGCAGAAGGTGGGCGGCAGCGGCGTCCTGCAGATAACGTCTGTCCCGCGTTGCACAACACAGCCTAGCCCATGACCTTGGCGGCCCACGGTTCACGTCCTGTGTGCACTGCCGGCCTTCCAGGAACTCGGGAGCCTTCCTCCAGCTCTGTGTTCCAGGCGAGCTCCGGCTTTGGCGTCTGCGGTGCATCCCGGGACGTGTTTGCTGATGCGCGCGCTGTGATGCCTGKCGTTGCTTCTGGATCGCCTCCCGTTTCTGCAGCATGTGGAGTGTTGCAGCGCCGTGGAACCTGGCTGGAGACGCGGGGGAGCCGGGTCGGGGACGGCGCGTGTGGAGCGGGAGCGGGAGCTGCTCGTGTCACCCTTGCAGCCCCTTAGAGACGTTTGCTCAGCGCGTGCTTTAAAGGTCTACTTGCACTGGTGTTTTCTTCTTCTGTTTTTAAATGACAATATCAGTTTTCCAAAATAATGTTTGTTGAACTGGACTGCAGCGCGCTGGTGAAATGATCTGACCCTGAAGCAGGACGCCGAGATCCTGCTGGTCCCTCRGTCCTGCTCATTCTGTGTGCTGGTCCTAGAATCACTTACTTTAATGAAGATCTGGCTGTGAAACTCTTTTCCACAGCATAACAAGGAGGGTGATGTAAAGCAGRTACTCCGTTGCCTTGGACAGCCCTAGGAAAGCTTCCGAAAGGGGCAGGTTTCCTGGGTTCAGCTCTCGCTGCTGGTCCTGCTGCCCTTTCAGCGGTGGTGAGACATGGCACGACTTACCCAAACGTCTTGCATGGAGAGGGGGAAAAGCCTCCTCCGCAGCAGGTGGAGGGGCGGCAGATGGTGCGAGCGCAGCAAGGCAGGTGGAACCATTGTGTGACAACCCCTGAATTAGGCACGGTTAATTTGCCGTATCTCCATTATCAGACCTCACTGCGAGATATCAGATTATGTCTCGCAGACGGTCTGGCAGTGCGAGTCCATCTGCGATTGCTCGTAGAGCTAAATCTGTCTGGGGGTTAACTGGAAAACAACCGGAGCCTGTTTTCTCTCTTGCAGATATCAGTAGCTCCCTAAAGCCGAGATCTTAATGGCTTCATGCAATGCTGTAAAACTCTTCATTTTCCCAGAAGTCTTCTAGTCCAAGGGCTGTTTTTCAGTTCTCTCTGCACAAATAAACAGCAAAGATGTCTCAGAAGTGCACGATTCCTCCTCTTACTTGGCAGGGAGGAGAAACTTTGGTGTTGATTTCCAGAAGAGATTTGGCCAAAGCAGCAGAGCAGATGCAACCCCCTGACCTCCTCTGAGCGCATCCACGGCGAGGATGGCTGCTTACCCAGTCGCTTTTCATCACAGATCAAATATTTGCCAGCATCGCGCGTCTGCTCTTGGAGAACAGGGAATGTGCCTGGACGAGCCGTGTCTGTTGTCTGGAAAAAGGCATCGCTGCCGTTTCTTGAATTGAACAGACGAGCACGTTTCAAGCACATGGATCATTCCCCTGATTTGCGAGCAGAGTTATGGAAGAGGAGGAACGATGCTCCTCTGCTGCCTTTGCTCATCTGAAAAGAAACGTTCCCTGCTATGCCTATGTATAAAATAAAGCCGGGGTGTAAGTACCTCAGTGGGAAATATGTGATGTGCCTTCTGCTGCTGCACCTGCTCGAGCAGGACTGCTTGGGTTAAGCTGTTTGCTATTTGAAAAGATCCAGTGGATAAACTAAAGGTGCATTTTTTTCCATGTTTTGACAGTATTTTTAACATTTTGCTCCAGTAGAGCTGAGCAATTCTGTTTCAGTTTCTCATTTTTCTCTTTTCATCATAATTTCTGGTGAATTTAGGTGCAGCGCGGTGGTCRCTGCTGCCTGGAGGAGCCTGCGCCRTGACACCCGGCAGCGCTCTCCCCTCCAGCCAGACCGCTGTGCGGAGTCGGAGCTGCAGCCGCACGGATGCAGGAGCCAGCACAAGTGGCGAGGAGGCTTCTGGTGCCGAGACACAATGAGGGCCTGGGGTGTGAGCTTCCCAAAGCAAGTGCATGGACTTGGGCTGTGCGTGGAGCTTCCCTTGGAGAAACCACCTTCCTTCCCGCAACGTCCCCCCTTCCTCTCCTGCTGCCTGGCCTGGCCCTCACCAACATCCTTCAATGAAGTTGCTCGGATAGCCTGGAAGTGCCCGTTCTGGAAATGGGAAGCAGGGGAATTTGGCCTTGGCAAACTTCCCCTCGACGTGACGCTGGAGGGACACGTTGTGTGTGCAGGTCTCACCGCTGCCTCGTGCCGGGGAGGAATCACCGGCTCCTGCCTCTACGTGGGGCAGCGGGAGGACTGGAGAGGCACCGCATTCCCGGCCGACCCAGGCGTTATCCGCGTTGGGCTTCCCCTCAGCGCCGTGCCCGGAGCCTTGGAGCTTGCCAGCGAGCATGGGATCGATACGGACTCACAGTTGTCCTTTCTTTGATTCCCATCTGGCAGCTGTCACTAAATCTTCCTTTCATCACCTGCCAAAATGTGTTAAGGGCATTTTGCTCTCACACAGACCTCCGAACTTTAATCCTTGCTTTCATAATTTGCCAGGCTGGTGCCTGCAGTTCCCTGTGCAGGGGTGTCCCAGATAGCCCTGTCAGGAACCTGCAATTAGCCTCAGGGGCAGCTGCTGAGCTTTTCCCCACCAGTGCCTGCTGCTGCGCTCCCCCCTGCAATCAGGCCCCAAAACCTTTGGCAGGCGGCCATGGGCTGCGTGACGGTGGCCAGGTGAGCGATTACTTAATTCCTATTAATTGGCTGCTCGAGAGGGGTGCGAGGCAGGCAGCCCTGGAGCCGGCAGTCTCTCCCGTTTGCAGAAATGCACCCGGAGCTGTGCAAGTGGCATCGGGATGTGTCCCGGGGCTGCCCCGCAGYCGTGACTCAGCGCGCCCAGGCTGCCAACGCTCGTGGCGGTGACGTCCCGACGTCGGGGACCGGCCCGGCTGGCGCCAGGCGGGCAGGTGAGTCAGGTTAGCAGCCTGCTGTAAAGAGCAGGGCAGGCGCTGCCGGCTGCAGGGCTGGCCTGGCTCCGGGCCCGGCTGCTCCGCAAAACTCCTGCTCTTGGTGGATGCTGAGGATGGCCGAGCTGGGGACAGGCACCGTCCGAATCCGCCCCGGTGCATAACGGGCAAGCGGCAGTCCCAGGGCCATCCCTTGGGACCGCGGTACTCCCCGGGCTCCGGGGCGCTGCCTGCAGCAGCAGCTGCTGCCTCAGCTGTGAGGAGCCCCGGCGCGTGTGCGTGTTTGTGGCATGTACCAAGTGCACAGGCGACTGTGCGGAGCTTTGCACAAGCCTGGCTAAAAGCACACCTTTCATTAAAGAGCTGCAGCTGCTTGTGTCGGCGAGACCTCTGATTTACTCGAGTTTCCCCAAGTGCAGGGAAAGGGTGACAGTGGCAGCTGGAAACCTCGTCCTGTCGCAGGAAATCTCCAAAGCCAGTGCAGGAGCCCAGTGCCCCTCTGCGCTTGAGGCTTTTCCGTGACGCCTTCCACCCTGCGCAGTCCACAGCCGTGGGTGGGTTATCCGGGCTGCATGTCGTCTGCATCCCAGATGTGCAGACATCCCGGCTGCCTTGCCAGGACAAGCAGCTCTCGGAGCCGCAAGGAGCACCGCTGTGCAAGTGAGTCCCTTCGGCCAGCATCGCCCTTGAGCACCGTGTCCGCAGAGCAAACCCTGGCGCGAGGGCTGAGCCGGAGCTGCTGAGCTCCGCGCTGCGCCCGGCCGCGGGGCCGCGCTGACCCCAGCAGCCGCCGCGCTCCTGGCAGCGCCATGCAGCGCTCCGCGCTCGCCCTCCAGCACGCAAACTTATTAACCAAACGGGAGGGCTTCCTAACCACGTGTGTTTCCTCACTCCCCCATCCAAGCAGCTGTTTGTTTGGGTCGCTTGAACCCTGGCCCGCTTGCAGGTTGGAGCCTGCCCAGCCGCAGGCAGCGGGAGGACGGAGCAGTGTCGAGGCTGTGACGTGCCCCGTGTCTCCCGTTGCAGCCCGAGAGCCGCGCGGGCTGCTCTGCACTGAGATCCAGAGCCAGGGTGGGCCRGGAGCAGGGAGCAGCCGGGGCCTCCCGCGCCCCACAGCTCTGCCTGGCAGCAAATGGCCAGCTGGAATCTCCTCCAGGGGCATAGATCAAAAAAGCAATTAGAAATGAGCTGCACTTTGCACTCTCCCTGCTGTATACAGAAGGAATGCATGGAGAAATACAATTTTCCCTGCATCTTCAAATCACACACCTGTGAGTTCAAGTCTTTGCGCTCTGGAGGTGAGGAAGACRAGTGGATGCACATTTTGACTGGAAGATAGTAATTCTCTGAGACTTTGGGGAAACGGTCGTCACGCTGCACTGGGTGATCCTCTGGAGATAGTTAGATCCACCCCAAGGGCCTCTGTGGTGTATTCTTCAGCTGCCTGGCGGCTGAGGTAGCTTGGAGAACGCTGCACTATTAGGGATTTACATGACACCTACTTGGTGGCCAGTGTCTGCGTTTTGACGGGAGCTGTAAATGCCTCGTTGGCGGAGAATATGCTACGGCAGCAGGAGAYGGAAAGGTTTCCTGCACATAAAAGAACAAGTTGTTTAGTTTAAGTTTTTGGGACTGAGACCAAAAATCAAACAGTGTCAGTGAGAAGCTGGCTAAACGGCGTCCTTGCCAAAGCAGCAGGCGCAAGCGCAGCAGTGCCAGCTCGGTGCTGGGGCCTGTGCACGAAGYGGAGCTTGCCGCGAGCAAGGAGGTGTGTGGAGCGCTCCTCGCAGGGAGCCAGCCCGGCCACCGCGCGCTCTCGCAGCCGCTGCCGCTGGAAATGTGCTCCCGGAGCCCTCCAAGCGACCAGCGCTGCTCAGGAGCAGCGTCTTGTGCAGCACCACGAGAGACAGAAAGGAAAGGGCAAAGGAAAGTTCAGGGCAGGGCAATGCAGTGCGGAGCGCGCTGCCTCTTGCAGCGTCACAGGCGTCCCGAGGCCCGGCGTCCGCTGGCCTCCGGATTTACTGGCTCTGCCAGGTGAGTAGCCCTCGATGCCAGCACATAGGAGAAAATTATGGCAATCTGCTGGCAGCCAGGGAAGCGAGTCCTCCTTACTCGCCCACATCCACAAAATACCCACAAAAACCATCTTCTGCCGGAATGCTGCTGCTGTAGCCTCACCCACATTTGGGGGCCAGGTCTCCTGAGGAAGGACCTCTCATGTCTCCTGGGGAAGGGCACCTCCAGCTCGCCCTTAGCTGCCCTGCACAAACTGTAACCCCCGTGGCATTGCAGGGCCTTTGATAAAGGCAGAACACCCCTCAAGTGACGGCGGGCAGTGGGTCCTTGTCCTCGGGCCTGCCTTTGAGCCTCCTCTTTGCTGGGTGCCCCTTTGGGGGGTTCTCCTTGGCTGCTGCTCTCAGCACCCCATGGACAAGCAGGGCCCGGGCTCCCCCCAGCTGCTTTCCCAAAGCCAGGACATGGCATCCTGCAGGGAAAGCTCGTTTGGTGCTTGGCACCGCTGGATTACAACTGCCAGCACGTCTGGCTCCTTAGCTTCCCCCGCTCGAGATGCAGCAAACGCGTTCGGGAGAGCGAGCGTGTTGGCTCCACGGCCAGAAGCGAAGCCGGCGGGGTGAGGACGGCCCCACGTGCGCTCTGGAGAAGCTGCGGTATCCGAGGCTCTGTGAGCAGCGACGGCTGCGGCGGGACGAGCTCCACCGCGGGTTAGCAGCCAGTGCCTCCCCCTGCAGAAATGTCCCTTGGCGGGGCGCACAGCGATTCGGGGCGAYGTTTTGGCCAAGTCACGGGGCGAGAGCAGGGCTGTCTCGGCGGCGGCTGAGCCTCGTTTCCTGGCAGGTGTGGGTGAGCAAACTTYCCAGCCTAACCCAAATCCGCACTTCCTGGTGCCCTTTCCACAGCGGCTGTGGTTTCGCTTGTGCACATGTAGGTGGCAAGAGGCAGAGCTGCAACTGCCGGGTACTTGTTGGCACTTTCCAAGCCCGAGGCCCCTGGGAACAGGTTTCCCTGGACTAACCAAGCGCAGAGTTGCCATGGGGCAGCCTGCTCGGGAATTCCTGAATCCTGGCACCAGAGCAGGGGGTGAAAAGGGCTCAAGGAGATAGAACTGCTGCTGATTTTTTACCAYGCTAAGCAAGTTGGTCTTATTATTTAGTGCTAACTTATTATTTAATGCAGCTCTGCGTCGTCACTGCTGCCGTCGCCGGGGTGTCCAGACAGCAGCCACGTCCCTCAGAAACACTGCCAGTCAATAACATAACTGGGAGCCCTGGGAATGTTTCATTGACATCGCCTCTTACTACATACCTTTCATTTTGTTCTCTTCTGGTTTTCAGCAGAAAGAGGCTGCAGTGCAGCTGGAGCTGGACAAACCTTGTGTTCCCCTCAGGGAACAAGGAGTTAAGGTTCTAGCAGCTTTAGTACTTGGTGTTAATTCAAGGCAGCAGAAACCGGTGCTGCTTAGTGAAACCTGAGACCGCTGTAGACTGTTATTTTTGCTTCTTACTGCAATCTTTGCTCTCGTGAGGCAGAGGGGGGCGCGGGGAAGGCTGAAGGAACGGAAGGGCATCCGTGTGAGCCGCTTGTATTGCACAGCCAGGACCAGGGTCAATGGGTCCAAGCTGAAGCCCAGGCAGCTCCATCTCCATGTGGGGAGGAACTTCTTCCCTGTGAGGGTGCCCAGCCCTGGTGACYGGGTGTCCCGAGCTCTGGGTGTCCCTGCTGGAGCAGGGGGCTGGATGATCCCTAAAGCTCCCTTCCAACCTCAACCATCCTGGGATTCTGCGTGACCAGGCACCAGGAGAGCAAAGACACCACGAGGCTCCTCTGCCGCCCCTGCTCCCCCAGCCCAGCTGGACACACACACGGACATTCACCTTCCCTTCCCACTCACCCCGCTCCAGTGTTTTTCCACCCAGTCGCTGGCTGCAGAGCGGAGGTTTGTGTGATGAGACGTCGCTTCTGCAGACGGTCGAGGCCGAAGTTTGGTAGAGGTGGGTTCTAGGAACCTCCCTGGCACTCAAAAGCTCCCGTTGGTTTTTGTGCTCCTGYAACAGTGTTTCCCATTCGGCTAAATGCTTTTCTTCCCACCTTGTCTGCAGCGAAATGCCAGCATGGAATCCAAGGAGGCTGAGCAGGATGTGGAAAGAGCGAACCTGGCTGTGGGCAGACYGGGAATGCTCAACTCATCACATGAAAACAGAGCACTTGTTAAATTCATCCCTTCTGGTGATCTTTACTGCTCCCTCCTTGAACCACAGGTAAGTTGTTTTGGAAGAGAAGATAACTTCATTTAATTTAATTTCATCTTCATTTTTGTCTAATATTTGTATAAAGCATTGAATAAGGAGAGTGTGTAAAAATGAAGGGGGAAGAGACTTTGCAATGGAGCATCGTTAATTTTCATTGCAGTAATGAAAGCTGCAGTATATTTAAATGAAGCAGTGACATTTATTTGATAGTGAGTTTTAAAATGTGCATAACGATCAGAAGCATAGGCATTTCCTTTCCAAAAACCCGGGCAAAGTTTCCAGGGTCAGTCTTGACCTGTCGTATAAAAATGTGGCCTGAGCGAGAAAAGCAAAGCAGTGTCTTACGCCGTCTTGTCTCCCCGTTGATTTTAACAGGCAGGCCCTTGGATCGAGCCCTCGGATTAAGCTCTGCGGTGGGACCAGGAGCTCCCGCAGCCGCGCATGATTCACGCTGCGTGTGCGTGCCAAGCTCCTTATTTACACAGCGTCTGCATCACAGTTTATCTTGTTCTGGCTCCTTCGCTGGAACTGGCAGGGACAGCAGACACGGGCGGTTGAATCACCACCTCCTGCAGCTGTGCCAGAGCCTCTGCACGCTCTTCTTTACACTCCTGTCCTTCGTGCTTGGGGATAAACAGCCATGCTGAACCAAAACTGCTGCAGTCGTGACAACTGTACGGARTTCAGCAGACTGGTTTTGGCAGGTACCAACCCAAGAGGTCGTGGCCTGGAGTGTCCTGCATTTTTCCTCTTTCTTGCTTGCGTTTGTTGACCCTGCTTAAGAGCACTAGGAGTTCCCTAGAGCTCGGATGCAGCAAACTGCTCAAGAAAACACCACTCATGTGAGTTTATGAGCAGTCCCGTGGGACCGCTGCTGTGGTCAGAGGGAGATGCAGGCTGGAGCACCTTGCTGAGCTAGAGCCTATGTAGCCTTGCCCACACGTAAAGAAGAGCAGGAGAGACGAGGGGGTTGAGCAGCCCCAGCACGACTTCTGCTTTTGAGGGAGCTCTCACCTTTTATTCCCAAACACCACGGACAAGGTTGGGAAGGCGCCGGCAGCACACCTGGTTAAAAGTGCACCCTCCGAGCTGCCAGCTCCCGGCTATCCTGGCCACGGAGGGGTAAAAAGCAGGAATCCAGGGACAGCGCTGCAAGCCAGCCGCAAAAACAAACGCTAGGACAGGAAAAGGGAAAAACGGAGCAGGGACTCGCCCTATTTCCACAAAAATGGACCCCTTGGAAATGAATGGAGCTCCTGCAATGAAACGCAGCACCCGGACCAGCCAAGGCCCAGGTTGCTGATTATTTTGTAGATGCAGGAAGCAGGTGAAGGGCTCCGTTGGGCCAGAGCCTGCGCGGGCGCACATGGAAACTCTCCCTGCCATTGTGTTGGTGGGGCCGCTTCTTTACCGGCCGCCTTGGGGCACTCTTTACCTCTTGCTGCACAGGAAGACCCCGTTCTCACCGGTTTTGTTTCTTGCAGGGTGTTTTTCTAAGCAGGCATCGCAATTCCTGCCCCGGCCTCGCAGAAACRTTACACAATGTGTTCTTAGACAATGGCTGCTGGGGAGGAAGGCGTTGAGGGCCTGGTCCTTGGGGCGTCGCTGCCCGGGGTCCTCCGGGGGGTCCCCGTCCAGCTCCGTCCCTCCAGCAATCCCTCGGAGCAGCAGGAGCGCTCCCGGCACTACCCGCTCCTGCCCTAACGCTCACGCTCGGGTTGATGGGGCGGCCTCTTGTCAGCGGAGCCCAAAGATGGAACCAGAGGAAACGGCCACAAACTGAAGCACCGGAAGTTCCACAGGAAAGTTCCACGGGAGATTCTGTAGTTGTGTGATTGTCCGCTTGATGCAGAGCCGGCCCGCAGCTGATGCTAAACCGCAGCCGCGCGGCCGGCCTCGCAGGGTGCCCGCGGCGCACGGAGCGCCCGGGCAAGCAGGGCAAGCAGGGCAAGCAGGGCAAGCAGGGCAAGCAGGCAGCGGCTCTCCCTGCGGCCGCAGCACCATCTCGTGGCCGCTCGCCCCGCTCCGCCGCGAGCCGCCGTGGTTTTCCCACGCAGCGCTCCCGCAGCGAGTGTGGAGCTCCCCTGCGCGGGGACAGGCCACGTCTCTGCCCCTCGTCTGCTGGACGCTGTTCCTTACTAGGCTCACTTTGTTTCTCCCTGATAAATACTGTCCTGGGCGATTCCCGTCCTTCCTCCGATCCAGCTCGCTGGCACTGGAGCTGTTTCCCGCTGTCCCTGCTGCAGCTCCGTGGTTGCCGGTGGCCGGAGCTGTTGGCCGGGGACAGGACACGCTGCGGGGCAGCAGCTCCCATGGGATTCTGCAGCGGCTGCCACGCGGAGCTCAGAGTGTGCTGGGCTGCCCGTGTGCCCCGTGAGGAGGCAGCAACAGGAAGGCGAGCGGTGCCGCTCCTTGGAAAACGTGGCCTCAGAAACGGAAAACCCAGGAAAGCCCTGAAGAGCCCGCGGGCGCAGCCGTGTGCGTGCTCGCTTGTTTGCCTGTTTACCAGCAGCGGTGCTGGAGGGATCGATGCGACCGTGTCCGAGCGGTTCGGCACGTGGCCGCTCGGCCGTGCCCATCTGCCGGGATCCGGCCACGTCACGGTGYTTTGCAGGGCTCGTGTGGGCTGCACGAGCTCTCCTGGTGTCCCGAGGCCACGCGGGTGACAGGATGGCCCCATGGATGGGCAGGACGGGCGTTTGGAGAGGCAAAGGGCRCCCGTGGCGCTGGAGGAAGCGCCGCTCGCTGCCGCCTCCCCCGGGATGTGCCTGGCGCCAGGAGCGCTCCCCGTGGCCGTGCTCTTAGGAAGAGCCTCGCTTGCTTCCGAGTGAAGGCTGCGCATGGAGAACAGCCCTCGCACRCTCAGCGAGGGACAGGGCAATTAGGAAGATAAAGCCAGTGCAAACAGAGGCTCCGTGCGCGGGGCGGTCGGGTCCAACCAGTTGCAGCCCGACGTTGCTGGGATGTTGAGCTTGGCGACCTGGCCGGCTCCCAGCGGCTGAGCATCTGCCAGGCAATTTGGCAAGGCTAGAAACAGAGTCTCCGCAAATTAAGCTGTGCATCATCTGCTTATCTGTGGGGACTTGACCTGCAATTAAGAGAGAGAAATGGAAGGAGCAGGGGTTGACCAGCCCAGGGGAGCAGTGCTGAGGGCAGCGCGTTGGATGTGGGCTCCCATCGCTCAGCGTTCAGTCCTGTTTGATGGGACACTGTTTGAGAGGCCTCTGGCTGACCTGCACAGCTCGGGACATGGCATTTCTGGAGCCTGCACGCCACAAAAAAAAAAAAAAAAGTTTTAGCTTTAAAAACGTCATATTGCAATAGGAAAAAGAAATACCCAAGGGGTAACATGTGGTGAGAGGAGAATCTAGCCTGCAGTGCATGTCCTGGTTGCTTCTGATGTCTGCCTTTGTCAGACCTGAACCCGGAGGCTCCGTAACTGTGCTTGGCTTCCAGCAGTGGGAGAAGGGGAGCCTGTGATGAGCACCAGGATGCTGGCAGCAGCTGGAGCGTCGYGTACTTAGCAGCACTTAGTCCCCTCTGGGGTGTCCAGTGGCTTCCTCGTCCCTGTCTCCTCCACGCGGCAGCCCTGGGGCCGGGTGTGAAGGGGAAGCCGGGCACGGCCGAGCGCGTCCCCGGGGCACTGCGGMATCCCCAGGGACACTGCGGCGTCCCCGGGGCACTGCGACATCCCCCGGCCTCCTTGCTGGCGGGCACCTGGGCTCTCTTTAACAGCAATTAGAGGAGATGAAGCAGAGGGGCACCCCGAGCTCCTTCCTGCCACACCTTGGAGGGGAAGGATGCAGCAGCCCTTCTCCTCTCCTCCCCATTCCCGGGCCATCCATATGTCCTTCCCGAGGAGTTTTCACAGCCTCGGAGTCTCCATTCTCTCATATTCACTCTGTTTTTATGACTGCTGTGTGCCCTGGCATGGAAAATCCTGCAAGGTCCGGAAGGTTTTGCCGGTGGGCAGCGGCCCGCGGCGCCTCGTGCTGGGGCAGAAGGCTCTGCACGGGGACCTGTGCGCTGCCCMATGCACTCGCTCCACGTGGCTGCCAGCCTGGTTCTGCTCACTGTGCACCTGATGTGACACCGAAATAAATAATGCAAATTACTGCCCTCTGTAATTAACACGGAGGACACTGGCGGGCGGAGGTGAGGCGGGTTGGTGGTGGTAGTAGTTTCTGCATGTAGGATCCCCCRGTATAGGTCAAGACACTTTCCTTGTGGCCACATACAAGCAGAACAGAAAGAATTTTGAAGCCACAACCGTGCATGACTTTGGTAGGCACCACGCTGAATATAACCTGCTTCTTGTGTTGCTTTTACCTCTTTAGAAGCCGACCTTCAAGCAAGGAGACCAGCGACTGCGAACAGCGCCTCTAAGAACGTTTCTTGCAGAATGTGCACAAGTTCCAGGAGACTTGTCCAAATCTGTAAGTAACAATCAGAGGTCAGAGAGTCTGGACCCTCATTTTGAAGGTGATTTCTGGACGCAGACCCCAGCGCACAACTTCAGAGCTCTCACAAACAGAGTTACTGCAAACTCCTGGCAAATTAGCACTCTTTAACAAAGGTCTAATATTCCTAGCACTCAGAGCTTGAATTTAATTTCACTAGGGCAGGGGAAGACTTAGCATGTCTTTGTTTTTCAGCAGCCCGCTCTCCTCGGGCTCTGCGAACGGCTCCCTGCCATTTCCACGTACGGGTGAGAGGCTGCGGGGTGTTTTTGGCGGTGCCAGGCTCGGCGGGGCAGCCGGCTCGCTCGGGGCTGCCTGGAACGTCACCCTCGCCAGCGTGGGGCCACGAGGCGGAGGACGTTCCTGCGGCTGCCGCGCATCAAAGCGCGGCCGGCGGCCCGCGTGGGTGCTCGCCGGAGCCGCACCGACCGGTCGGACGTGTTTCCCTCAGGATCCGTGGTCCTCCCTCCACGTCGTCAGCGGCGCCGCGGCCGCCCGTGCTTGGCCTGGGGCATGGGGACGTGCCAGGGGGGCCCCTGTGCTGCTGGCAGGGACTAAGACCTGCCCTGTGTTTTGTGCCTCTGGGCAGCCCCTGCTAGGCCAGGTGCCAGCCCCCAGAATCCCAGATGGTTGGGGTGGGAAAGGATCCCTAGGGATCATCCAGTGCAGCCCCCTGCTCCAGCAGGGACACCCAGAGCTCGGGACACGCGGTCCCATCCAGGCGGGTTGGCAGATCTGCAGAGCAGGAGCCTCCGCAGCCTCCCTGGGCAGCCTGGGCCAGGGCTGGGCACCCTCACAGGGAAGAAGTTCCTCCTGCTACCAGAAGCAGCTCATCCATGCGCTCCGAAAGCAGGCAGGTGCTTAGGACCCTTCCTGGTCTGCACCCCAATTTCCCATCTCTTAGTTGAATGCAGTACTGCTCCCCCCAGCAAAATCCATACAAAGGGAAAAATATTTTTCCCCTCCTTTCTTCCCTAGAAACAGCTGAATTAAATTTGATCTATGTTATTTGTGACTAAAACTGAGTCCAAGGATCTGCCTTAGTCAGTCATCACTGTAGCCACCTTTGCCTCTAAAGGGATTGGAAGTCGGGGGAGAAACCTCCTGTTCAGTGACATACCAGGAATTGAGCAGGGCTCAAGGAATGTCACC